GAGGTCTAGTTGTTAGAGCTATTTAAAGATGGCCTGTTTAATTACCTTGAAAAGCACATAATCACAGAATTGATCCCACAGTGACGCTTATTACAAGCAAATATATTTAGAAACAGTCAAATAACAAAATTCACATATCTATGTGATTCCTCTGATTGGAAAATAGCCCCATTATATGAAAACTCAGTTCCATCAAGAAAACAAATGACATACTAGTGAAAGTAAAGCAGAAACTGGTTGTCTTCCCATGTATAAAAGCAAAGTGCTACTGATTTTTCAAGCTGCCAATGGAGGAGAAAACTATTACATACCTGTATGACCGACTCCTCCTAAAAGTTACTAAACAGGCCTTTTAGTAACATATGACCAGGTCTTTCAACATCATGAACTAAAGTCTTCTATATAAAACATATGACTGACAGCCCTCACTCATAGTAAATTACTAATTTATCAAGTAATTACCAAGTAATCTACAAATTCTTTACAAAAAAAATAGATCAAAGTCTTCCCACTAATGCATTAAAAAATCAAATTATGGAAGAGAAAAAAATAAATCAAATTATGGAAACCATAAAATACGACAAACTGTTGGAATGCAGGTATTTATGGCCAAATCTTAAATCTGACACACATCATCAAAGGGTTTGTCTGTTTTTAACATCCTCAAAGTCAAACATCAGCAGTACAATCTATCCTGATTCTTGCACTGCCCTAAAGTCAATGTATTCTAAATAAATGGCTATAAGGCTTTTAAGAATTGCTGGACAAGGCTCAAGTATCTACCATAGGGGGAAATATCATCAAGATAAAAAGGTATAAAAGTCTTTTCTGAGCTATGAATTTCAAATCAAACATACAAAAGTAAAATTTTAAAAAGGAAAAGAACTGCCATATTTCAGGTTGGAAGATTAAGAGGTGGTATGTATGCAATAAAAATATAGCTTACATATTTTAATGTTAATAAATAGAAAATACATATCAAGTTGATAAAACAAAAGTATAGACACACAAATTTTATATATTAAACATACACACCTATATAAACAAAGGTTGGGAAAGAATCTAGAATAATTTAAACTGTTCACTGGGATATTTTTCAACAAACTTGTTTAATTATATAATAAAGAGTAAGATTTTACTGAAAAAAATATGAGAAATTGTACATTACAAATTACATAGTACTTACAGGAAAGCAATTAAAAGATGATGTCCTTATTATCTTCCTGGGATTCTAAATAAGTTTGTTGCTGCTGCTTTCGGTCATCAAGTCATGTCCAACACTTTTGCAACCCCATGAACCATAGCCCAGCAGGCTCCTCTGTCCATAGGATTTCCCAGGAAAGAATACTGTGTGGGTTGACATTTCCTTCTCCTGGGATCTTCCTGACCCAGGGATCGAATCCATGTCTCCTGCATTGGCAGGTGGATTCTTTACCACTGACTCACCAGGGATGTGCTCTAAATAAGTTAGTTTTTCCTAATTCCAAATATGCAAAAAATGACATGATATCTAAAAACAGTATCAACTAAGTCTACTAATTTCGACATTCCTTTCAGAATGTGCTTAGTCACTCAGTTATGTTCAATTCTTTGCAACCCCATCGACAGCAGCCCACCAGGCTCCTTTGTCCATGGAATTTTCCAGGCAAGAATACTGGAGTGGGTTGCCATTTCCTTCTCCAGGGGTTCTTCCCCACCCAGGGATGGAACCCAAGTTTCCTGCATTGGCAAGTGGATTCTTTACCATTAGTGCCACCTGGGAAGCCCAATCCAGAAAAGAAACCTTCAGTTGTTGTTCTTTGTGTAAATTAAAATATACTTTACACTTTAGGACTTCCCTGGTAGCACAGTGGATAAGAACTTGCCTGCCAATGCAGGGAGCACAGATTTGATCCCTGGTCCAGGAAGATTCCACATGCTCTGGAGCAACTAAGTCCCTACTCCACAAATACTGAGTCCAAGCTCTAAAACCTACAAGATGCAACTACTGAGCCTATGTGCCACAACTACTGAAGCCTGCATACCTAAAGCCTATGCTCCACAACAAGAGAAGCCACCACAATGAGAAGCCCACACACCATAACGAACAGTAGCCCCTGCTCACTGCAACTAGAGAAAGCCTGAACAAAGCAATGAAGGCCCAGTGCAGCTCCCCAAAAATGTACTTTATCTTTGTAAATTAAAATTTACACTTGCTCCCCATGACAGATCCACAAATCTGGCTATATATCCAATTACCCGGAGAACTTTTAAAAGTAAGTTCCTGGGGGAAATTCCCTGGTGGTTCGGTGGTTAGGACTCCATGCTTCCACAGCAGGGGCCACAGGTTTTATCCCTGGTTCGGAAACTAAGATCCCTCAAGCTACACAGCACAAACAAAAAGTAATAATAATAAAACTGCATTTAAAACATAAATAAATAATAAAAGTTCCTGAGTCTTATCTCTTGGAGATTCTGATTTAGAAAGTCTGCAGTGGATGCCATGAATCAGTAATATGTGATATAATATTATATAAAGCTCATGTTGGTATATTAAGGGAATTCCTCCTGTGATTCAGCTGGCTCTTGGAATTGATCCCTTATTTCAGTGCTTTTCAAGCTCTACTGTGCATAAAAATCACCTGCAGATGTTACTAAGAGGTAGATTCTGATTCAATAGGTCCGGAGTCCTGGGGACCTGAAGCTCTAAGTTACCAGGTGATATCCATGCTGCTGGTCCATGGAGTACACTTGGAGTAGTAAGACCTTATAGGATCTTTCAGTCTTTCCACAGGTGAATAATAAAAGGTATTCCCATATGCAGTTATTATTACTGAAATATTTTTAAGTTTTACAGAAACATTCTTTAGCATAGCTAGAGTATACAACTTGCAAAACATTTGATTATCTTTACTATGTGTCCTACTACCAAGTGAATGGAAATTATCTCCCCCATTTACAAACAGAATAACACTAAAAGATGAGTGTTACTGCAGTCAAAAGATATAAACTTCCATTTATAAGATAAATAAGTACTAGAAACATAATGTACAACAAGATAAAGATAATTAACACTATTGTATGTTATCCATAGAAATGGTTAAGGGAGTAAATCCTAGGCGTTCTCATCACAAGGAAAAAAATTTTTCTATTTAATTTTGTATCTGAGACGATGTTCACTAAACTTACTGCCCTATTCATTTCATGATGTATCTTAGTCCAATCATTATACTGTACACTTTAAACTTACACAGTGTTCTATGTCAATTATATCTCAATAAAATTAGAAGAAAAAAACAAATAACAATAACAACAACAAAGGACCAGACAATAAGTATTTTACATCTTGTAGGTCCCTACCCCCAAAAAAGATGAATGTTACTGAAATCACAATGCAGAGATTAAATTAAAATTTACATAACTTCATTCACACACACACACACATATATATATGCAAAAATATTTAGCATGACCATGTTTATAACAGTAAAATACTGGAGAAAATCTAGAAGTCCAACAATAGAGGACTGATTAAATATCTTATAAAGGCATCTATCAAAAATAGTGATGTAAATGTACAACTACCAGTAATGAAAAGATGTTCATGATTAAGTTTAAAAACAAAGTTTTGTCCAAACCTTATAGTATGGTTCCATGGGGGTGCATACAGTCACATATACATTTATTCAAAAGAAAGAGTCCATAAAGATATATACTAACATGGTTAAAGCATCCTCAAAGAATTATAATTTCAGGTGATCTTAATGTTTGTTTACTTGAAGGATCCAATATTTCTACTATGACACAGAATTTATAATAAAATTCTTAAAGGGTAAAAAGGGGTGAGAAGAAAACCAAGCAAACCCCGCATAGCACATGCACACCTTTCAAGAGCTACTCTAATGGCTTGACTCCAAACAGTCATCAAGGGACTTCCTATATTCAAAGCACTTTGAAAGCTTGTTAAAAATGTAGTCTTGCATCCCACCCCAGATTTACTGAATCTCTGACGACAGTCTCCTAAATCTGCATACAAAGCAAACAGTGACTCTTAAACACAGTCAAGTTTGGAAACAAAAAGATTCCTAGAAATGCAGGGACCAAGACTAAATTTCAACCTATCTAAATGGCAAACTATAGCAAATTCAGAATGGGTGAAATCATGATACATACCTATACACCCACACACAGCAACCACTGGAATATGAACAACAAAAACCTGTATTTAGCAACTAGCTTTATTTAATCTAAATTTTAAGCATCTCTTATGAACACTGACCATTTCCCATGAGCTGACTGAGGTCACAAAGGTTTTCCTTATGTTTGATATACATCTCTCTGAAGCTATTCCTATTATAACCTTTTCTATGATGTTCTGTCTCCATTTACTCCTTCATTAGTTAAAAGTACCATATAGACAATTACTATGGAACCAAATATCTAGATAATTCAACCATTCTTCTGATGCTTTCACTTCTCCTTCCTAAACAACATTCCAGTTGACCTATCCCAGTAGATTCTGGTGATTATTTCATCCAAAGATCCTCTCTGAGGCAAACTCAAAGGCATGGAGAGGAATTTATACTACTAGAAGCCCTCAAAGAAGCAAGGAAAGCGTTTCCTGTTCTGAAAAACAGCACATGAACCCCAAAAAGTCTGTTGACAGAAATGGAAAATATCATACTGAATATATCCCTAAAATATCAACTCACAAGGCATACATTTACTAAAAGCTTTCAAAATAAGACATTAAGAGTTTTGAGAATTTTCTAAGGTTAACAAATTAGAATCATTTCCCCAAAGAAAGCCAGGACAGACTGTCCCCCCTTTAAAACAGAGAGGAAAACAGTAGGGAAAGAAAAGTTTGGCATGAGCTAAAAGGATTTAAGAATAATTTCAGGGATGTGGGGACAAGTCCTTCATTTTATTTTAATCCATGATACATTTTAATCCTGGATCACTCAGAAGTCCAGGCCAGCTGAAACTGGAATTTATTAAAACCAAGAAGATTATATACCCACCTGCAGCTCACACCAAGCAACCTCAACCCATGTTTCAGTGTCCAGTCCTTTATATACTGTTTTAAATGCTCCTCTTCCCAGTTCTATGTCAAATTTCAGGAACCTGCCACTAGGAGAAGTAGCTACAGCCTTCATTTCTGCTTCTTCTTCCATCTCCTTTTCATTTTTCTCCTTGAAATAATCTTTTGAGGATTCTGACGTTCCCTTTGAACATTGCTCATATTTAACTTCTTGTCCTCCTCTTAGCACATTTGTAGGAAGCTTTTCTACTCTTGGAACATTTGTTGCAGTCTTTATTCTCTCATCTTTGGAGGAAGATTCAGCAACTTTGTCATCTTCTGTCATCTCAACACTCTTTCGAAAGAATCTTTTCTTTTCTATAGTTTCTCCAGAAGCAGAGAAGGTATTGCTTTTCTCCTTTAGTCTAGCTTCCACTGTCAAAGTTGCTGCAACCTGAGGAACTCTGTTTTCCAATGAAACTCCATCAGGTTTCTCAGAATCTTCTGTGCTAGCTGGCTCCCCTGAATCAGTAGCCATTGTAATTAAGGTTGGCACTAAAATTTTTCCTGTTCCACTCTTCAGTCCAGTTCCATCTCAGGTATCAGAATTATCAGGATGGACTTCCTTTTATGTGGTCATATATTTCCATAGCAACCTGAAGGGAGGAAAGAAGGATATATTAAAATCACCCCACAAAGGAAATCATTAAGGAGAAAAATCACCTGACTGTTTAATCCCTTTTTTCTTAATAAGAAATTTGTTCTTTTTCTGTCCAGTCTTAGCAACCAGCAGGCTCCAGGGACTATGTCTTATCTTGTTTACCATTGCAGTCCTCAGTGCCTAGCAGACTACTTGGCATACAGCTCAACAAGTCTTCATACTGCATGAACATTGTTTATAAACCTAGTTCTCAGCACCTTCTATGAATCTATCATATTTAAAGCAAGTATCCAAACCCTGAATTTGCTTAACTACAAGGCAGTACACAAAATAGGCTTCTCTGGTGACTCAGATGGCAAAGAAATCTGCCTGCAATGCAGGGGACCATGGTTCAATCCCTGGCTCAGGAAAACCCCCTGGAGAAGGGAAATGGCAACCCACTCCAGCATTCTTGCCTAGAGAATTCCATAGACAGAGGAGGCTGGCGGGCTACAGTCCATGGGGTCACAAAGAGTCAGACACGGCTAAACATGCACACACACATAACACGTACAATAAGCAAAAATAGCACATAATTTCTCAGTAGGTGGTTTTTGTCTAAAATTCTGGAACTAATCCATAGATTTTTTTATTGTGGCAAAATTTAATCACAAACTGTTTAGTGTACAATTCAGTGGCATTAAATACTCTGACAATGCTGTGCAATCATCACTACTATCCATTTCCAAAACGTTTCCATCCTTCCAAACTGAAATCTTTAAAACAATAACTCCTCATCACCTCAGACCCTGGTAGTCTCTATTCTATTTTAGGTCCTTGTGAATTTGTTTGTTCTAGGTGCTTCATGTAAGGACTCATACAATATTTGTCCTTTTGTGTCTGGCTTATTTCACTTGGCATAATATTCTCAAGTTTCATATATATATATATATGTATGTGTGTGTGTGTGTGTGTATGTGTATATATATATGTAAATATAGCATGTATCAGAATTTCATTCATTTTAAGGCTGAATAATAATAGTCTATTGTATGTATATAACACATTTTGTTTATCCATTCATCTAATCAGTGGATTGTTTCCACCTTTTAACTATTGTGAATAATGCTACCATGAACATCTAACAGTAGTTTTGAATAATGCAAATATTATACTTGTTCATTGAGCTTGCCTTCATATTTCAATAGGAAGATTTTAACTACTATCAAATATTAACACATTATATTATTTAAAAACGGCAAGAAAGACTTAAATATGTATCCTCTTGAACCAGCAATTCCATTCATAGGAACTTGTCATAGAAAATAGTCAAGAATCTGTGCAAAGATTTAACTGTAAAGACATTCATTATAGCACTTATAATTTGGAAAAACTATAACTAAATATAAACATAACAGGGGTTTAATTAAGTATCTCAAAATGAGATAGGATACAGCATTTTAAAAACACTGTAGTAGTGAGATGAAAAGACATTTCCCATATGTTATATGGTTAAATGAAAAAAGAAATATATACAACAAACTTTCATTACACACACACACTCGATGTTAACTCTGAATGGTGGAATTATGGACTTTTTTTCTTTCTGCTTTTCTGTATTTTCTAAAATTTTCCACAAAGAACATGTGGAAATATGTGTAACATATAAAGAAAAACTGTTTAAAAGGTTTTTCAAATGAATGGTCAAACCAATAAGAAAAATCTTTTCTTCTCACCATAAACATACATCACAAAGTTAAACATGTATATTTGTTATGATATTATATAGCCTAGAAGGCAGAATTTGTCATGTCAAACCAAAAATAAACAATAAAAAATTTGAAAAACAACTCTAAACTAAAACAAACAAAATTGGGTGAAATATCCTAAACTGTTCTATACATTCAACACAATTCCTATCAAAATTTCAGTTGGTTTCTTTGAAGAAATTAACAAGCTGATCCTAAAATTCATACAAAACTTCAAGGGTCCCAGAATAGCCAAGTCCAGGCAAACCTGAAAAAGAACAGAGCTAGTGGACTCAACCTTTCCAATTTTAAAACCTACTATATAAAGCTACAGTATTAAGACAGTGTGGTACTGGCATAAGGATAGATGGATAAATAGATGGAATAAAAATACAGAGTCCAGAAATAAACACATATATTTGTGGTTGACTGATTTCCCACAAGGATGCCAAGACAATTCAATGGGGAAAGAACTCTCTCTTCAACAAATGGTGCTAGGACAACTGGATGTCTACATACACAAGAATGAAGTTGGACTCTTGGGAGTCCAGGTTAAGTACGCTTCCTGGAAAAGATGTCTGAACTGAGTCTCTAAGAAAGAAAATTAGCTCATCCAAGCAGAGGGAAGATGACAAGCAAAGTCATGAAATAGCAGAACAAGTATATAAACAATTCACTAACAATACTAGACCTGGTGGCTCAGACAGTAAAGAATCCATCTGTAATGCGGGAGACCTGGGTTTGATCCTTGGGTTGGGAACATCCCCTGGAAGAGGGCATGGGAACCCACTCCAGTATTCTTGCCTGGAGAATCCCCATGGACAGAGGAGTCTGGTAGGCTACACTCCATGAGGTGACAAAGAGTCGGACACAACTGAACGACAAAGTACAGCAATACTAGAAGCAGGAAGATGAGGACAGAGACAGATAGTCACCAAGGATTTCTATGATATACAATGTAAAACAAGGAGATCAGTTAGAGAGCTACTGTAATAATCCAGGGAAGAGTTGCTGACGTTTGAGTGAAAATAGTGTCAAGAGGCAAGATATATTAACGAAGTACTAAATACAAGATTTACTATCTGAATGAATATGATTGTGAAGGAACAGGAAGAGTCTACGCTAACTCCTAGAAATTTGCCTATCAGATGACACAGCTAGGACAGAGCTAAGAAACTAATAGCTCATGATGTACTACATAAGGTTACACTGCAAAATCAATAGACTTTGAAAGTCAGTAAGACTAGTATTACCTGCAAGTGGGAAAAGGTAACAATGCCTCATTTAGGTAGAGATTTATTTAACTTATTTTTAGACTTGGAAAAAGGCATGCAAGAATATACAAAGAATCTAGTATACCCTTCACTCACACCCCCAAATGTTAACATTTTAGATTGGACATTCTTAAGAATAACTTTATCCACTTCACCTAACTAAAGGTAACTTATTCAGAAACTTCAAAAGCAAAGATCTATAAGTAAGACAAAAGGACTGCTGCTGCTGCTAAGCAGACAAAAACAGGTTAAAAAAAAAGATTTTAAGTTGGAAAAGCCTTCAAGTTTTTTTAACTGCAGAACCTCTTTTTTAAAAAAAATATGAAATTTTACTCAGAACCCTAATATAAAAATAGAGGGGCAAGTAGTGCTGCCCTGGTATAATAACTATAGTTATAATGTCTGGTCACCTGGTTTCCCAAACTATGGAATAAGAAGCAGCAAAAAAGAGAGATGAGGAAATGAGTGTTCCTTTAGCCTTAAAAACCAACCCCCAAGACAAAAATATTACTAAAAACAAAGAACACTTTATAAGTATGGAAAGATTAATTCATCGGGACAATGTAACAATTATAAACATATACACATCTAACAACAGAAGCCCAAAATATATTAAATAAAAACTGACAAAACCAAAGAGAGAAATAATTCGGTAGTAATAGTAGGAGATTTTAATACCCTATTCTCACTACTGGGGAGATAAACTAGATATAAAATAAGCAAGAATCTGGAAAACTTGACCAATACCATCAATCAACTTGAACTAACTACCATCTATAGAACACTCCACCCAGCAAGAACAAAATACACATTCCTTTCAAGCACACATGGAAAAATCATAGTACAGATCATGTACTATGCAGTAAATCTCAAAAATTTTAAAAAGAATTGAAACCAAAGTATACTCTCCTACCACAAAAGAATTAAATTAGAAATGAACAGAATAAGTGTATATAGATCAGTGGAATAGAAATGAGAGTCTGATCAACTGATTTTCAATGGAGAGGTCAAGACAATTCAATGGGAAAAGAAGAGTCTTTCAAAACATGTATTGGGACAATTGGATATCCACATACAAAAGAATGAAGTTGGACTCTTAACCTCACACCATACAAGAAATGAACTCAAAGTGGAATGTGGACCTAAATATAAGAGCTAAAACTACAAAACTCAAAGAAGAAAACATTAAATTCTAGGGACTCTGGGTTATGCAATAAAATCATGAAATCACTGTACCGAGGTACAAGTGATAAAACAAATACAAGTGATCAAAGAAAATTGAGAAGGTGGACCTTATCAAAATTTAAAACTTTTGTGCTTCAAAGGATGCTATCAAGAAAGTGAAAGGGCTGGGAGAAAATATGTGCAAATCATATATCTGATAAGGTATTCAGAATATACAAAGAATTCTGACAACTCAATAATGAAAAGATAAATAATCCAATGGGCTAAAGATTAGAATAGGCCTTTCTCTAAAGAAGATACATTAATATAAATGGTCAATAAACATATGAAAAGATGTTCCACATAGTTACTCATTAGAGAAATACAAATAAAAATCACAATCAAATACTATTCCATACCCATGATGATTACAATAAAAAAGACAAGACATAACAAGTGTTGGTAGGGATATAGAGAAAAGAGACCCCTAATACACTGCTGGTGGGAAAGTAAAATGGAACAGTCTGGCAGTTCTTCAACAAGTTAAACACAGAGTTACTATATGAATACTGTCTACTCAAGAGAAATGAAAACTTATGTCCACATAAAAACTTATACACAAGTGTACACAGCAGCACTATTCACAATAGCCGAAAGGTGGAAACAACCTAAATGTCTAATAACAGCTGGATAAACAAAAATGTGTTATATT